ATATATATATATATATATATATATATATATATATATATATATATATATTCTGCGATCATATCTCATACTAGACTCATATGCATACCATGAATACGTTGTGCACTTGATCCTTCTTCATGTGCTTCATTACCGCCTTCAATCTCTACATCACGACGAAGAATGTAAGATTCTTCTTGCGCTCTCTGAAATGTTTCATCACCACCACCACCACTCATTCTAATGTAATTGTGAATCGTCATTAAAGCTAGCACAATATTCACTTGGTTCTCATATTTGAAATTCACATGCATATCTTTGAGTAACTCTCATCGAGCCTTCCACACTCCAAATATCTATTCGATAACATTCGAAGTGACGAGTGATAAAAGTTAAATGTTTTTTTGAAGCCTCTAGGCTGACATGCGACAATAGTCTATCCACGCCAAAAATTTGGTATATGGTAACAAATGTTTCTGCCTTTTTAGCGAGCAAGGTAACCTCTTGTATTTGGATATTCACCATCTACAACATAATATTTATCTAAAGCCAGAAAAATAAAACATGTGATTGTTATTCATTTCAACCTGTTTGACAATATAAACATCTCATTAGTAAATTTTTTAACTAACCACCGACTGGATGTGGAAAATTAAGTTCCCGTCTCTTTAGCGCTTCATTGAAGAATCTCATGTCATGTGTGATCCTTTCCCATTCGGCTCAAGAAAATTTAAAACACATATTAAAATCACACGATGTCATAATATTTTGTATGGCGTATCCTTTTATTCTAATGTATTTGACTTGCTCAGTCTCTCGTACTGATGCCGTCGTGTGAGTTCCATCAATAACACCAATACAATCCTACAAATTCACAAAATATCATAAGTTAGTAATTATTTCAAAAGTTACTACAATCATATAATGAGCAAAATATAAAAAGTACCTTGAAGTATGGAAAATAGTTAAGATTATTTAAATTATTTAAAAAGTTACTACAACTAATGTATTTGACTTCCCCAAAATGGTTAAATGTTTCTTGAACTAACCTATTTCCACATCCATGCGCTAATGTCATCAAAAAGATCCCAACAGACTCATAAATAGATTCATGACATTTTTGTTGTAACCCATAATGTGTAGTAAGATCTCTACATAACATGTTGAAAATTGGAACGTGTAATCTAAATACTTCATAACATTGTCTATGATGACGAGTAAGTACTGTGTTCATAAATATATTTCCTGTACGCGAAGATGTATGGCAAGGTATATGTGTCTTACTCATTTTATGAGTTAATAATAACCCTTTTGACAACGAGACCACATAATAAAAGCCATTGAACCTCCTCATCCTCCAAATTTTCTTCAGATCCATCATATGAATCGTCACTATCCATCCTGTATAAAAATGTGACATTAAAAACTTTGTTACCAATTATGATAATAAAGACATAAATAGATAATTAACCAACTAACATAAATAGATATTGTCGAATACAAACACATACATAATGTCTAACATAAACACATAGATAATGTCTAACACAAACAAGTAAATAAATAATGTCTAACACATAAAACTAGTTATCTTTCTGAATAAGCATCTTTCGAAACTCCATCCTTGTTGCGTGAGTTTTTGGAACCATATAATTTTCACGAGCTGGATTTTTTAGGAAGACATGAAGTGATTGCAAATATCCGAATGACCCTTATTCAAAACTTGGGAAACATGTCACAATGTCTATACAATCTTCTGTTGTTGGTGAGGTGTTGGTTGATTTTAATGTCCGAGTGCTTTTTGTTGATATTGTTTCCAAAACACTGTTTAATTTCTGTTCCAATGATGAAACTGTTGCAGTTTTCCCTTTGGATGCACGACTAGGTGGGGAGTTCTTATGATTCTTTCTCTTAATGGAACTACCTTGCATGAAAAAAGGCTCAACATCATCAAATAAGTTCAATTCCTCACTATCTCCCTTGCCCTCTGTGATATTGTAACATCCATAAAATTCATAAAAATTTAAAACTCTTTCAAACATCCAAAAACCATTATTTATTACAAAATATTTTCAAAATAGTTTCATATCAGAGAATCCCAGAAATCAAAATCATAAAATGCGAGGAGGTGCACGATCAAGCCTTCGCCTTCCCGCGATCATCCGAAGTACCTGAAACAAAATCCACAACTGTAAGCACGAAGCTTAGTGAGTTCCCCCAAAATACTCGTACAACAATAACACACATAAAATAACAAACTTATTATGGGCCCAATCAACCATCGGGTTGGAATGCTCCAGGCCCTCAACCATCGGGTTGGAATGCCAACATATTATGGATCCAATCATCCTCGAGATGGTATACCCTCGGCCCACAACCTTCGGGTTGTAATGCCCACATATTATAAGTCCAATCATCCTCGGGATGGAATACTCTCGGCCTACAACCATCGGGTTGGAATGACCAGGTCTGTTGGCTCACGCATAAAGCAGAAAAGCCTCAACCACCGATCAAACATATGCACATATATCAGATAATCACATAACAGTCTACAAATAGTCAAACCGATCTACAGATTACAAAGCATAGCAACATCCTATCTACCAGGATACCGATCTAACCGATCATAACCACATAGAACATCCTATCTACCAGGATACCGATCTAACAGATCACAACAGAAATAAAGCAGGATAACAATCCAAAGGGTCGGCCTTGGTGCCTTCGACCCTTGAGTATAGTGAGGAAAACTCACCTCACAAGTAGTGCTGAACTGGACTGAAAGTCTCCAACCGTTGTCTCACCGAAAATCCCGAACTATCAAAATAACGAATACTAAGTCAACAGTTGGAATATCAATCTTGACCAAGGGTCCAAACATAGGGTAATAGTTCATTCTATCTTTTCCTTAAGTTGGGCCAAGGCCCAACTCCAATTCCTAAATCCAAAAGCACAATATACAAGGCCTATAATTGGCCTAATTTCCAAATTGGGCCCAAATCCCATATTGGGCCTTACCCACAATTACACAAGCATCAAGGCCCAATAGATGGTCTAATACCCAAAGCCCAAAATAGCTAAGCCCAACAGGCTGAGTACGCGGGGGCGTACTCAGGTGTACACTCGGCGTAAACGCCTTGACCAGAAGACGGGACACTGACCACCTATGCCCGACATACGCCTTGGTACGCCCAGCGTACGCTTTGGCCATGCAAAACTTCATTAAGTTCTTAATACACCTCGTCCAGACGTCCCAAATTAGATCTATACTTCAAAACATGTCCCAAACCATAAAGTTTCCAACTTTATGGTTATGCATGCCCTATAAGTCCATAAACTCAAAACCCTTGTTTGTCTTAACCATTTAAGACCTTTATAACTTGCATGAAACCACTAAATGGGACAAGATACCGTTTTTATGGTCCAAAACACTCTAAATTTTCTGAAAGGACAGATCCTTTGGTCTTAGAGTAGCTTAACTCATCAAGACCAAGAAAAGGTACTCATTTACTCGTAAAACTTCCATGCAAGATCTATGGGGAAATACAAGTAAAGGTAAAGGCTTTTTACATTCTGGAGCTTCCCCAAGGGATGAAGATCATAGATCCAAAGCTTGAATCCACACCAAGGCTCTTCAAGGAGTCTCCTCTTCTTATTCTTCTTCTCAATCCAAAGAACTCACATACACACACAAGGCTAGGGTTTAGAAAACGTCTCAAAGGTATGGAGGCTGAAAGTGTTTGGAGAAATGAGCTATAAGGATACTTATATACCACCCAAACCCTAAATATTAGGGTTTTCACCTGACGTGAGTATGCCCAACGTACACAAGTGTATGACCAGCATACTAGGGCGCACCTAGTACGCTCATCGTACCCTTATGTACGCTCAACGTACTCCTCCTGATCCAAAATTACAATATTAGCCATTAGGGCATCTCATAGCTACACCTTTCCATTCCCAAGGACTAAAAATGACAAAATAATAATAAAGGGGGGATTCGAAAATACCTACAAATTCCGAGATGTTACAACTCTCCCCCACTTGACCTAGACTTCGTCCTTGAAGTCTGCTGCAACAAACAGATCTGTATAATGCTCCCGCATCTTCACCTCCGGCTCCTAGGTCCACTCAGAACCCCTTATATGTTGTCATTGTACCTTCACCAAAGGTACTTCCTTGTTCCTCAAGACCTTCACCTTTATCTCCAATATAGCTATGGGCCTCTCGACATAGTTCAGGCGCTCGTCCACCTGAATGTCATCCAATGACACGACCGCACCCTCGTCCAATACACATTTTCGCAGCTGCGATACATGGAAAGTGCTATGGATCTGACTGAGCTCCTCAGGGAGGTCCAGCCTGTACGCAACCTTGCCCACCCTGGCAATAATACGGAATGGCACGATATATCGGTGACCCAACTTTCCCCTCTTCTTGAAGCAGATCACACCCTTCCAGGGTGAGACCTTCAGCAACACCATATCGCCGACTTGAAACTCCAACTCGGATCGACGTCAGTCGACATAACTCTTCTGCCGACTCTGAGCGGTCTGTAATCGTTTCCTGATCTGCTGGATCATCTCTGTAGTCTGCAGAACCACCTCAGTCCAACCCATGACCCGATGTCCAACCTCACCCCAACAGACTGGGGTACGACATCTCCGTCCATACAACAGCTCATAAGGTGGAGCACCAATGCTGGAATGGAAGCTGTAATTGTAGAACTCTGTAAGGGGTAGGTAGGAGTGTTGGATTAGGTGTCTAATCCCATAACTATAATTGGTATATTTACAAGAAAAGGAGTTTTCATCATACTACACCTAAACAATCAATATAGCTTTGTGAGACACATCTTCAAGTACTTATCTAAGTACCAACAAAAGTCTTGTATTATAACCAGAGTCTCTTGGAGGGAGAGCGTGAAACTTGTGTATAGATCTATACGGGACTGACAATCCCGCACCTAAACTGTTAGCTACAGTTAGACCGGCAGGTGTGACAAATGTCGTACCATTCTGACGCCTGAAGAACGTCGTACAGGTCATCTAGGTCATTAGCATGCTTATAATAACTCACAAGGGGTATTAACAATACGTTTGGTTTACGAATACATACATGTATTCAAATGGTTTTATTTATACAAAACTACATTACACTATTTTCCAGTACAATACAGTTTACATTCTGGAAACATGCATTCAAATGGTTTTATTTATATAAAACTAC